ATACAGGCCAGGACATGGGTATGGTCAACCTAATTTATATCATTCATATATGTGACCCTGGACCACAAAACCTGACATAAGAGTACATTTTTGTACTTGTATTGCATACATCATCTGAAAGCTGAATAAATAAGCTTTCCATTGATGTATGGTTTGTTAGGACAGGACAATATTTGGCTGAGATACAACTATTTGAAAATCTGGAATCTGAGGGTGCAAAAAAATCGAAATATTGAGAAAATCATCTTTAAAGTTGTCCAAATGAAGTTCTTAGCAATGCATATTACTAATCAAAAATTAAGTTTTGATATATTTACGGTAGGAAATGTACAAAATATCTTCAAGGAACATGATCTTTGCTTAATATCCTAATGATTTTTGGCATAAAAGAAAAATCTATAATTTTGACCCATACAATGTATTTTTTGGCTATTGCTACAAATATACCCCAGCGACTTAACACTGCTTTTGTGCTGCAGGGTCACATTTGTGAGGTACAAAAAGCAAGCCGGATCTTCAGTCAGCACTCTCTTGAAATGTTTATACATTATAGATTTTTATTGTTTGGGAAATGAAGATTTATTTCTGGAAAACAGTTCCATTTATTCGAATTACCTTTAAATGTAATTATAATTGCTTTGGATAAATGACGAGGTGTTTCACACGAAATAAATAAACATAAACTGTTATGTTAAGAGTTATTAGGCCAAGAGCAAAGTCAGCAAAGTGCACTGATCACACAGGAAACTGCTCAGAGCATTTCAAGAAAAAGAGATAAGAATCACAATGCAAAGCCACATCTGAGCAAGAACTGTACTACTCTGCTGACTAAAAATGCTGAAGCATGATTGCATTGACTGTTATTAAATACATAGAGACACTTATTTTTTCCAGTCAACAAATGTTATAAATTATTTGGAAAAAAAGAAAATACAAGTATTTCTTATTACTCCGTCGCCTGTATTACAAATACTGTCTAAATGTTGTGTGCAGTTTTTTCTGTGCTTGTTTTAACAGATACGATCTAGTTTTCTCCTGAAGTCCTGAAGCTGAGATACAGGTTTCATCAAATGGTGCATTACTTACTTTACCACGGTTTAACTTTCAAACAGACTCATTCAGGTCATTCGTATGCATATGACTAGTCAGTTTAGAGTAAAACTAGATCACAAACAGCTCAGTTTACTCAAGTTTTTAAACCAAAGTGTGCATGTGTGCGCGTTTATATATATATATATATATATATATATATATATATATATATATATATATATATATGTGTGTGTGTGTATATATATATATGTAGCTTGATTTACTAGCAAGTACCATTTTATTTTTTCTACTTCAAAATGTCACTTAATTCAACATGTTCACTGAAAAAAAAACATTCACTCAGAAATTGATGGTGAATTTCATAAATAATTACACATAAATTAGTGCTGTCAAACGATTAATCTTGGTTAATCGCATCCAAAATAAAAGTTTTTGTTCACATAATACATGATGAGTGTGTACTTTGTATATTTATTATATATATAAATATATATATATAAAACACACGCATGTATATATTTAAGAAAAATATGTTATGTTTATATATTGAATATATTTAAATAAAATATAAATTATATGAATATATATATGTATGTATGTGTGTGTGTGTGTGTGTGTGTGTGTGTGTGTGTGTGTGTCTGTGTATACACACACACACGTTTTTTTTTTTTTACGTGTACTGGCATCATTTCATGTCAACAGAATAAACACATGGGTAAATTAGATTATATTTAATAATGCAGTTTCTCTTTCTTTACAAAAAACCTGAAGGCACAAAAAACTTTTTTTTGATGGTCCATCAACAGATATTCTACTGACTATAAGTAACTTTGCAAGTGCATGTCAACTTATTCTACTAACCCAAACCTAACAGTCTACTAATACAATAATGGGAGTTAGTTGACATGCAGTTGCAAAGTAACTTATAGTTAGAATGTTTAAAAAGTGTGAAAAGTGAAAGTGACGTGACATGTGGCCAAGTATGGTGACCCATACTAGGAATTAGTGCTCTGCATTTATCCCATCCAAAGTGCACACACACACCGTGAACACACACCCAACACATAAATGGCTGCCCACTGTGCTGCGGCGCCTGAGGAGCAGTTGAGGGTCCGGTGCCTTGCTCAAGGGCACCTCAGTCGTGGTATTGAAGGTGGGAGAGAGCGCTATACATTCACTCCCTCCACCTACAATCCCTGCCGGTACGAGACTCGAACCCACAACCTTTGGGTACAGAGTCCGACTCTCTAACCATTAGGCCACGACTTCCCTTTTATATAGAAGTTTAAGTATTAAAATAAAAGCATCCATGAAAATGTATTTCATCACACATTTACAAAAAAATAAAGTTTGAATTACTTAATGCAAGCCTTTATAAACTGAGTTACACTTCTCTTTAGTGTGCTTGAATGAATGAATGCAATAATATTTGAAAACTCTCATTCTTCATTTTCACAAGTAATGGCATGTTTCATGAAGCTGAGGATGTGTGACAGCAGGTGTCAAACTGAACATGTAGAGGGACAATGGAGCGACAGCACCCTCTGCAGATACACCATCATCTTCAGCACTGGATTTATTAAAAAATACAAATCTTTAAAGGGATTATATGCTTATACAAGCAGACAGAATGTTTATCATTATTTCCATGTTATAGAAAATAACTGATAAATAGCCGACGGAGAAGCTGCTTACTGCAGAGCAAATGGGTGGAGCTTACATGTAGCTCCGCCTCACAATACATCCAGCAAAAATTCCAAAAATGTTCTGTTAATTTAAATTCTGAAAAGCTTGAAGTGCTAAAGAAAACATTTTTAAAAGATCCTCTGAAGTAAAGTTTAAAAGAAAAAAAAATCAAAGTAAGATTTGGAAATACTGTGAGCTTATTTTTGTGCATAAAAGCGTACACAATCATTACACACACACACGCAAAATCAATCATTACACACACACACACACACACACAAAACATACTCTTTCAGAGATGGTACACTTGCAGCAAAGTTGTCAACAAGGTTAAATTGTGTTATTATACTATGATAGTGTTACTTAATATTTAGATTTTTTGGTTTCATTTCTATTTTTGTTATGAGCTTTTGTCGTTTATATATTGATTTAAAGGTGGCATAGTATGCCCCTTTTTACAATATGTAATATAAGTCTCTGGTGTCCCCAGAACGTGTCTGTGAAGTTTCAGCTCAAAATACTCCACAGATCATTTATTATATCATTTTGAAAATGCCTATTTTGAGTGGAAGCAGAAACACGCTGTTTTTCGGGCCTGTTTCTTTAAATGCAAATGAGCTGCTGCTCCCCACCCTCTTTTCCAGAATAGAGCTGCGCCTTTACTGCTCGGACCTGCTAAAAACATCTGTTTTGGTTCTGATTATCATGTTTATCGAGCTGAAATCATGCGTTTTAAACCATATGAGTTTAAACTTCTGATATACGGTTTTCTGAGCGCACACATCCGAAGCACACGCACAGAAAGCGGCTGTCACAGCATGTGAGTACTAAACTAAGTTCTCATTCACACACACGTGAAATCAAAATGATGGCGCTATGGGTGTAAACTCACAGATTAAGGGGCGAGTTTACAGTAATGAGATCCCTTTGCCACGTCACCAAGGGAGCGAAATCAGATGCGCTCGTTTTCTCAGACACTTGCAGAAAAAGGCTTCCCAAAACAAAGTTACTGGGTTAATCTTTTTCACGTTTCCTTGGTTGGTAGATGCACCGGGGACCTGATTATAGCACTGAAAACCTGGAAAAATCAGATTTTCATGATATGTCACCTTTAAGAGATAACTATTTTATGGCAATACAGCTCATATGCAGTATATTTCAGCTTTAATTTTAGTATTCTAAACTACTCTAAACTTAAACATTATTTCAGTTAGTTGCCCAGGATACATTTCTCATTTACGTTTTTTTTTTTTTTTTTTTTATCTAATATGTTTGCTTTATTTTAATTTGCCTTTATTTCAATTTAAAAAAAATCAGTAAACAATAACAGTATTGCCATGAACTAGTTCTCTCTTTTAGTTTGTATCAAATGACTAAAAACTATTTAAATCTAAAAATAAAGGGAAACAAAAGCCCTCAACAAAATTTCCAATATAGACAGATAATGCTTAAAAAATTACAATAAAAATTAAAAATAAACATGAAGATCAGACAGTAACCATAGGGTCTATATATGGCACATGATGGAAAAACTCAGATCATTTTGATGCTAGTTGGCTTGTTTTTGGATTGGAGAGGAGTTTCTCAAAATTCCCTTTTTCATGACATGGTAACAGTCTAGAAATAATAAACAACAGAAACAACAATACATTCCCTCTCTTCTTGTTCTTTTGTTCATATTTATCCAGGGTTAATTGAGACATTTTATGCAAAGTCATCTCAAATGGCAAAAAAAGTGTCAAAGCACCCTAATTAATGAACGAAGTCATCTAAATAAAACGGTAACCTGTCATTATTTTCCCAAAATGCTAAATGTGACCTAGATAAAGGTGCTGACATGCGATGCTGTGGCACAGCTTGATAAAGCAATCGTCTGTTGTGGTTGTGTGATGTCTTCATTGGTTCATTTACATCACTGTACGTGTATACTGTCTGTCTGTCCATCCTCCAAGGACGAAAGAAGGTCAAAGGGATGTGGCAAACAGTTACTTTAGAAACTAACTGATGATGAAGTCTTGACAACAATCTGAGATAATCTGCACTCGTGTTGCATTAATGGAATCTGTTGCTACAACACTGGACAGAATTAGTGTCTAATTTAAGACAAATGACTAATAAATAGTGACTGCGGCAGTCAGGGTGATTCCCTTCATAGGCATTACACTTTAGCATTATTATTATTAATGTTATTTTTATAAGTAATGCCTGATGGTCCCAGGAGTCTTTTAAGTTCAAGCACAGTGAGCTAATAGTGTCTCTCTCCTCCATTTTAAGGGGATGCTCAACATTATCGCGATTCTCTGAAATCTCTATTAGTGATTATGGGGGTGTGCAAGCATTTCGGGATTTTTTTCTTTGACGTGTAATCAGCTGAATCAAGGTTGTGGAGGAGAATGTCACTTCCTCTGTCAGCTCTATAAGAAGACTGATCAGTGCTGAAGCTATGAAGACCATCTCAGCAACTGCAGACCTAGGAATCAATACAACCAACATGAGGACTTTAATGCTCTTGGTGCTGACAATTGTAGCGGTCACTGGATTAAGACGACGTAAAGCGAGAGAAAAGCTCCTAGAAGAAATCATGGAGGATGTGGACGTGATGCTAAAACAAAGATCAAAGATGGTAAGAACTGAAATTGTATTTCATCTGAAGAGCCAAACTGTTTTTTTTTCTTTCTCTAACAAACTTCATACTTTCTTACACAGAATCTCAACCAATTTGTAAAAGACGTATTGCCGTCGGCGGGCTGCTCAGTAAGTTGAATTTTATATCACAGTTTTTGAGAACATACTTGATTTCATTATCATTCATTGCATATGGTTACACAGCAGAAACACCTTTGCCAAGCAGCAATGGTTATGATGAACACAAATCTAAAATTCAGCATGCTACACAGGCGACTGTTTGCCTATGCTAATTATTCAGGGGTAAGTCATCTCACAATATTCATTTGTTGAATTAGATGATAAACAATGTGATTACTATACTGTGTCTGTATTATTAGAGTATCATTCTGTGTGAAAAGCCAATGCTATATTATCGGCATGATTCTTACACTTTAGAAATTATCAAATGTCATTTCCATTTTTCCACTACTATCGGTTATTTCTGCCCCACTAGTATCAGCAAACTGAAGCGCAAAGCTTGTCTGACTGACTTAACCAAGCTTAACTTAGCTTAACATATCTAACGACTGATTTAACTAAGTCCAGCTTGACTTAACCAAGCTTAACATAACTAACGACAGACTTAACTAAGCTTGACTTAACCATGCTTAACATAACTAATGACAGAATTAACTAAGCTTAACATATCTAACGACTGACTTAACTAAGCTTGACTTAACTAAGTCCAACATAACTAAGCTTGACTTAACCATGCTTAACATAACTAACAACAGAATTAACTAAGCTTAACATATCTAACGACTGACTTAACTAAGCTTGACTTAACCAAGCTTAACATAACTAACGACAGACTTAACTAAGCTTGACTTAACCAAGCTTAACAAAACTAACGACAGACTTAACTAAGCTTAACATATCTAACGACTGACTTAACTAAGCTTGACTTAACTAAGTCCAACATAACTAAGCTTGACTTAACCATGCTTAACATAACTAACGACAGAATTAACTAAGCTTAACATATCTAACGACTGACTTAACTAAGCTTGACTTAACTAAGTCCAACATAACTAAGCTTAACATAACTAACGACAGACTTAACTAAGCTTAACTTAACTGACTACTGATTCAATTAAGATTTTCACAGGATTCCGGACTGAACAGTGGCACATGCAGAGGAAATAATACAATATAGTTACTAATAATCAGTTTAAATAACATCTGTTTTACAGCCTCAGAGAATTAGCTATGCCTATGACTTTAGATTTATAGACTGACTTTAGACTCTTTTTTTCTCTCCACAGCACTGCAGCGTTCCAGCTTCAGAGGAACACAGAATGGAAGTTTTTCTGACAAAAATCCAAAAATGCTGCCAAGAACTATACTCTAAACTCAAGCATAAAAGACACGTGAAATGACTCTAGACTTACTTCTTAGGAACACAATACTATATTTTTGTATTAAATTTAACATTAATATTAAATTATTTTGTATTAAATACATTTAGGTATTTGCTCATATTTATATATTTATTGTATTTATGAATAAAAGTATTCTAAACTGATTTTTTTGTTTGTTGTTTTTGAAATGTGAAATTATTATTAATAAAAAACACTACTATTTTTACTTTGTAAAATAATTTAATAATTTAAAGAGGAGTACAGTGGGGGGAAAAAAATGAAAAATGTAAAAAAAAATATTACATAAGACTAATGGTTTACTACAGTGCACATTGGAAATACATTACAATAAGAGTAAACTGAGCTAATGGCACCACAGCCAGGGGAACATGGCATGCACATTCTCACTATATATATATATATATAAAAAAAAAAGTAGCACAGCTTGTGTACACTGAGCTAAAGCAATTGCACGCTGCCAACTGTATAAAACATTAAGATTCGATTAGTTTCTCAATAGCATATTCCCTGATGGCAAGCTCATCTCTTGTGTCGGATCAATAACTCGCTCGCCCCAGCCATCAGTGTAAAGCAGAATATACAGTAACAGTGTTTATGTTAAAGGTGAAATGTGCCTTTTGGAGTATCATTAACAGACATTTTACAGCAAACCATCCTCACCTAAACCCAGCTTTGGAGCAGCTCTGGAGTTCCTGCATATTAACACACTTATGTCAAAGTGCCTTAATGTCACAACAATCAGTATTTCCTAAGACATATACTGGACTGGCCTTAAAAATGCACAAAATATGGTGGTCTTCATCAGACGCAAGGCTCACTGCAGCAGGGATTCAATCGCAGCCTCTGGTTTGGAGGAACGTTTCCTAAAAACAATGAGATTGGGGAAAAAAGACATTTAGACAAAAATATATGCACATGACAAAAATGACATCATTTAGATGATCTAAAGAGGTTTGCATTTACATATTCAATTCATAATTGCTGAAATTGTTCAAAAGTGACAGACATTTATAATGTTACAAAAGATTTCCGTTTCAAATAAATACTGCTCTTTCTTATGAACTTTCGATTCATCAAAGTGTCCTGAAAAAAAATATATATATCTTGGTTTTTCACAAAAATATTAAGTGGCACAACTATTTTCAACATTGATAATAATAGTAAATATATTTTTTGAGCAGCAAATATAATAAGCATATTAGAATGATTTCTGAACGATCATGTGACACATGAGTAATGATGCTAAAAATGATATTTATTTAAAACTTATAATTAGCAATAATAATAGTTTTTTTTGGATCAAATATATGCAAACATTGTGAGCATAAGAGACTTAAAAAAAAATAAAAAAATAAAATTCACAACATATAGATGCCAAACTGCAATGAAATGCAGTGATGTTTGACTCAGGATCACTCATGTTCAACTCCAAAGAGACATGCTTTATTATTATTACTACATGAAATAATTAAATATATATATACATAATTTTGGACAATTTTTATATATGCTTATAGTGCCCATTTCAGCAATTACATATACCTGTATACAACATCTAAAATCATACAACTAATTAATGCATCACGTATTAAACTAAACTGAAGGATTATTTAACTGTAACTAGTTGTAACAGTCAGATGCATTTGTGTGTGCAAAGGCGTGAACCAGAAAGTCCAAAAATAAAACAAAGCATCACACCTCACCTACGACCAGTTTTAGGCCTGGACTTTCCACTCTTTGATGTCCGAGGCCTTTCTAGTTTCATTAGGGACTGTCTCATGCTCTCCTCAGTGTAGGCCAGATAAACATGGGACAGGTCCACTTCAAATGGCTGAATCACAAAAGAAGGACAGCAGACAAAAATGAAACATGAACAGGGAGCAGCGTGCATCACGTGTGCCTCAGTAGATCTGAACGGATGCTTACATCTTTTTCTTTCTTGTCCGACACAGGTGTCTGTTTTCTCATGTTGTTGCCGGTGTAGGCCACACATTTCTAAAAAACAGCAAATACATCAGCTGTATTATATATTTTCATTGCACCCAAACATCATGTGCAGAATGAAATGTGTTGAAGACGCTCACCAGCTGCCATTCTCCAATGTCCTCATTCCAGTGCACATAGTTCTCAATCATCTCCTGTACACAACACAACAAAAAAAGATGTTATTTGCATGTTTTAATAGTAGCGCAGCTGAAACGCTGAAATAAATATTAAGCGAAGTTCAGATATTGTGAATGTTCTTTTGAAACTCGTGTTAAACTCTGAGAGTAAATAAGCAAAGGCAGCTCATTATTTCATTGAACTGCATTTGAAATATTCAATTCTTAAAGGGAAAGTTCACTCAAAAATGAAAAGTCTGGTTCCAAACCTGTATGAGTTTCTTTATTCTGCAGAAAAAAAGAATATATTTTAAACAGCTATTTATAATAATATATTTTAACTTTGGTTAGCACTGATTTCCATGGTGCTGACCAAAAAAACACTTAACATCTTCTATGTTTCACAGAACAAAGTAATACGGGTTTGGAACGGCATCAAGAGTAAATGATGACAGAAGGATCATTTATGGGGTGAACTATCTCTTTAAGACTTTCTGTACAGTTAATTTGCTAGCTCAGTTTTGACATTTTCGCCTTTATTGTGCAAGTGCAGCATTTCACACTTTATATTATCAGCAAAAAATATCTGATTAATCAAATCCTGACAAGGGGGAAAAAGCAAAAAATGATTTGCATGCTTATTTATGCAAGTGCTGCATCCTGAAGCGCTGTGTTGGTGCAGGAGAAACAAGAAACAATACTTCAGTGATTAAAACAGGGTTTCTGCAGGTTAAACGAAACATGTACTTGAAGCAGACGACAAAAAAGAAGTTAAAATGAATCAAAATGAAGTGAATTCATAAATAAAAACTTCTAAATATCTGCCAACTGGCTCTGAAAAATTTTCATACCCCACTGACTGATGTTTGTTCTTGTTTTAAACATAAACCAATACTTCAGTGATTAAAACAGGGTTTCTGCAGGTTAAACGAAACATGTACTTGAAGCAGACGACAAAAAAGAAGTTAAAATGAATCAAAATGAAGTGAATTCATAAATAAAAACTTCTAAATATCTGCCAACTGGCTCTGAAAAATGTTCATACCCCACTGACTGATGTTTGTTCTTGTTTTAAACATAAACTGAGTTAAAGACTTAACATTTGCAGCTCAAGTAAATGTATCTTGTTTTAAGGATGTTTTATTAGAAAACAAAAATACAGAGGAAGCCATTAATCTTTGTAACTTCATGAGTTTAAGTCGTTTTGCTATGATTTTGCGACTTTAAACTGGACCATTTTTCCTAAAAAGCCTTAAACTACATTTAGATTAGCTTGACTAAACATTACACAATTCAAGGTAATATGTAAATGTCAGACAAAGACATTTGACATGCACATATGGGAGGGTTTTCCCGTGATCTTGAAAAAGGGTGGTTTAATGAAGCTGAACTAGGAGATCTTTATCAACATGTTTTGATCACTAAGTAATTCCTGTATTTCTGTAGCTATTATTTGATCACTTCACTGTCATTCAAAAACATGCCAACAAGAAAGAATGAGGAGGTTTGTCTAAAGTTTTGGCTGACAGTGCACGTGCATGAGCACAAATACAGACCTGATATTCCTGAGGAATGAAGTTATCAATGATGAGCATCTGTAGCCGCAGCTCTCTGCTCAGCTGCCGGATGTTTTCCAGCAGACCTTCGATCTCTCTGTGATGCTCTTGCTGCAGATCAGCCATCTGAAACAGCAGTCATTCTTACCAGAGTACCAATATAAACTAGTATTGTCTTGTAGTGAACAAATTGGCATTCCAAGGACCAGTTTAATGGCAGGGCCCCTCTCTAACTGGGGGGAGATGTGCCACACTGTGATTGGATCTTGGTGGAGGAACATAAACAAATGTTCGGAACCATCAGATAAGATGCCAAGACAACTGCCAGACACCTCGAGCACTCACGACCACCTAAAAGAGGACTTCTCATTGGACTACGGGTTGACCCTCACCATCACACCCAATCCTAAGGTTTAGGAAAAGACTGCCATATAAATTCCTCCTGATCTCTGGATGCAACAGCAGTGGCCGAAACAAAGAAAGGCCCCAAGATCC